TGTCTCTCATTCTCTCTGTCTCAAATAAATAAATAAAATCTTTAAAAAAAAAAAAGAAAAATAGGACTGGAGTTGGAAGATTCTCCACTTCCTCCTGTAGAAAGGTTGGGGAAAGGGAGATGAGAGAGAGGCATAATATGCAGGTAATACTTTCTTTTCAAATTTTCTTCTTTGGAACTAGAAAAAGACAGAAAAGCAGAAAGAAGACAGGGGGTGGGATTCAGGAAAACATGTGGCACATATGCTAATGTCACTTGGGAAATGTAACCGGCTCACAACTTCCATCTATTATCTTAGGTGAAAATACATTTTCAGCCAAAAAGAATTATTTTAAAACACGGGTGTGAAATAAATGAGCACATAAAACCATATTGTCCAAAGGGCCTCGGCAGAATGTTTTCTTTAGATAGCAGTCTCAGGGTAACACTGCCAGGAATGCATAGTTGTTCCAGCAAGAGTCTGCTTTTGTCACTCGTGAATTGCAATGGGGCTAGAGGGTGGGCTGGTGGGACGACACAGGACACAAACCTCACTTATCTAAGAAATGCATCTGCAACTCCATGGGTGGCAGGTGCTTAAGAGCATTGAACAGACATCTGATGCACCGAAATCATGTATGTACACTGGAAAGCACAGGTGTGCCAGGTCCCTGCTACGGTCTGGAGAAATATACCAGACATGCATCCAATGGTTCTGTGCCTTTCCTTCCTGACTTCTCTCCTGCAGGATATGGAGTCCGTGTCGGTGTCTACGCAGGGCCCTCTGTTCACTGGCATTTGAAAGCCTCTTAACTGACTCCAGCTACTTGGTTGCCTCCGAGCAAGGCTCAATCCAGCTAACGACGGATATCTGCCAGGCTCCTCTGGTCTCTTTCGGTCTTGTAAGCCTCCCCTCTCCCCGGTGCTAACCCTGCAACCTGGATGCCTGTCTCCCCTGTCTCCCTCACACAGGTTTTGGGGCAGTTACCTGTCACCTCTTGGGCTCCCTGTCTACCTAGTAGCTCTGGTCATAGTGATGGGGCCAGATGGCTCTTTGCAGCTGTGTGACAGTCCTTTGATTCATTCTCAAGTTGATTCCCACCCACTTTCCCTTTTAGCCAATAGATGGCGCCTGCCCCCTCCAGGGGAAGAGGAAGAGAATGCACAGTTATGGAGCCCTGCTTTGCACCACGTGGTACTCCCTGGTGCCTTTCAGGGAGCACAGGGCTGGGAATCAAGAAAACGTGGGTCGCTATCAGAGCTCTATCTCTCCACATATGGGGGATCTTGGGCATGTCACACATCCTCTCTACCCTTCTGTTCCTTCCTGAAGAAAATGAGGGCAAAATCCCCTTAAAGGAGACAGTCCTTTCTACGTATCCAGCTGCAGAGGGCACAAGGCAAACATGCAGTAAAAGTGGGTTCTCTTCTGGGGGACACTTCACATGCACAGTGATCCCACCGAGGGGCATCACTATCTGTCTTTTGCAAGGAAGCTGATCTGGGGAGATGACATGAATTGCCCAAAATCATGCAAGTGGAAAAGCCAGAATTGGAATCCAGGCCTGCAAGGCTCTAAACCAGACCTTCCCTCTACTCTGTCCTGCCTTCCTCCATGACTTTCATCCTTCTGCTCTTCCACTTTTCTTTACCGTTTTCTTTCCCTCTGCCTGTGACATATGCAGGGCTGTGCCACTATTAGAAATAAAGTCCCCACAGTCTAAAAAAGAAAGGACATTCTGGGTGCCTGGGTGGCTCAGTCAGTTAAATGTCTGCCTTTGGCTCAGGTCATGATCTCAGGTCCTGGGATTGAGTCCCATGTTGGGCTCCCTGCTCCGCGGGAGTCTGATTCTCCCTCTGCCCCCTCCACCCCCTCCAGCCACCCCCTCCCCCCAGCTCGTGTGCTCACTCACGCTCTCTCTCTTTCTCAGAAAAAAATAAATAAAATCTTTTAAAAAGAAAAGACATTCTAGTAGACATTACAATGTAAACAAACTTTGAGGACATTATGCCAAGTGAAAGAAGCCAGTTCCCAAAAGGACAACTACTTACATGAGGTTCCCGGAGTGGTCAGGTTCAGAGACACAGAAAGTAGAATGGGGGTCGCCAGGAGTTAGATAGAGGGGGGAATGGGGACTTAGTTTTAATGGGGATGGAGTTTCAGTTTGGAAAGATAAAGAGTTCTGTGATGGACAATGATGACAGTCACACAACAATGTGAATGTGCTTAGTGACAGTGAACTGTACAGTTGAAAATGATTGAAATGGTAAATTTTATCTTGTGTATATTTAACCACAATAAATAAATAAAATAAAAACAAATACAGTAAAATTCCTACGGCCTGATTTACCATTTCTCTCCTTTTCTCCAAACTCCTAAAAGGAATACATGAAACTGACATTTCCTTTCCTCAAGTCCTTGCTACTTCATGCCTTAGCAATCAGGCTTTTACCCCCCCTCTGCCATGACCCCTTCCCTTTCAGAAGGTGGTCCATGAGCCCTCGTCCTCCCCCACTGCTGGCAGGCCGGGCCCTGGGCGTCAGCACCCTGTTGCTGGCCTCTGGGACACTGTCCTCCGTGTTTCTGACCAGCCCTTCATCTCCTGGCCTCTGCAGGCTTCCTCTGAGCCTATCTCCTGGCCCTCAGCCCCTGCGTCCTCCCTCCCAACGTGATCTCAGGCATCCCCCTTCCCACATCTGTAGCTCCACCTCCCGTAAGCCTCTTGGCTTCAGATCAGCCTTTAATGCCATGTGAAGGCCAACTCTGTGGAGACATCCTGCCAGGAGCTACAGCTCGCGATCGGGAGCAAAAGTCATCGTCCTGGTGCTGAATATCGCCAGCTTCCTGCTTCTGTGAGTGGCTCCACCACGTCCCCACCATCGAGCTTACAGCTTTGGGTCCTCCTGGACCTCCTCAGCTCCGATACTCTCACCCAAGCAGACGTTGTCCTTGGCCAGCCTTCCCGGAGGGTGTCTCCTTCTCATTTTCTTTCCTGGACTGTGTTGGCTTTCTTTTCTTTTTCTTTCTTTCTTTTTTTCTTTCTTTCTTTCTTTTTTTAAGATTGTATTTATTTATTTGACAGAGAGAGACACAGCGAGAGAGGGAACACAAGCAGGGGGGGGGGGGGGGGGGGGGGGGGGGGGGGGGGGGGGGGGGGGGGGGGGGGGGGGGGGGGGGGGAGCGGAGAAGCAGGCCTCCACGGAGCAGGGAGCCCGATGTGGGGCTCGATCCCAGGACCCTGGGATCATGACCCGAGCCAAAGGCAGATGCTCAACCCCTGAGCCACCCAGGGTCGACTTTCTAAGGCTGCTGCAATGAAGTCCCACAGACTGGGTGGCTTAAACAACAGAAATCTTTTCCCTCAGAGTTCTGGAGGCTGGAAGTCTGAGATCAAGGTGTCCATGGAGCTGGTTCCTTTTGAGGCCAATCTCCTTGGCGTGTGGATGACCACCTTCTCCCTGTGTCCTCACACGACCTTCCGTCTGTATGTGCCTGTGTCCTAATGTCCTCTCCTTACCAGACACCAGTCAGATTGGACGGAGTCCACCCACATGACCTCATTTTAACTTAATGACCCCACAAAGACCCTATCTCCAAATACAGTCACCCTCTGAGGTATGGGGGTTAGGACTTCAACATAGGAATTGGAGTCACAACTCAGGCCCTAACACACGCTCCTGGGCTGGCCTCCTGCCTTCTTTCCCCACCACCTTCCTCAAAGCCGCCGGCCGTCGTCATGCTGCCTCTGCTGCAGTCTTCCTCAAGCGCCGTGGGGAGCCCACTGCCCGGCCACTCAGCACCTCACAGAAATATTTCTGACCCCTTGGCTTGGCACTCGAGGCCCTCCTCACTGTGGCTGCAAACAGCCTGTCTCTGCAGCTCCACCACCGCCGGCTCTGCTCTCCGGCCAAGCCAGGCGGCCGTCCCGGCGCGGGCACGCTCGTGCTTCCCGGCCACTCGCCGTCCCCCAGCTGTGCTCTCAGTCGGGAATGCTCTCCCCCCTTCTCTGCCTTCTCAAAACCTACCCAGTGTTCTGGGCCTGGCACAAATGCCGCTGCCTTCCCCGAAACTCCATGATCCTTTATCTGTGCTACGAACAGCCCTTCTCCTCTTCTAACTTTTCGCCGGGGACACATTTTGTCCCAGGGGTCTCCTGGGGGCCCCGAGCCAGGTGGGAAAGGTCACGGTATTCTTTCCTCACTTCCCCCTTGCAGGGTCACTGCAGGCCGGCTGAGTCCTTCAACCAGAAGCCCCCAGCTCTTGTCAGGCAGCCCTCTCCACCCACTCCTGTCCACCTCCAGGTTCTGGGAACCATTTCCTGCCCTGGCCCCTTTCAGCTCAACAGAGGGCAAGCAGGCCAGCTGGTACCAGACCCTGGGTCCCTCCCGGGGCCATATCTTGGCAAATAGTCCCTCCTTTAAACCCTCCTCAATTAGTTGAACCTGACTGTGCCATCTGTTTCCCCCTGGGATGTGGACTGATATGCCATTTTCACCCAGGCTTAACGATTGCAAATCCACCTGCTTCTTTTCAAAAATCCACATTGAAATACTGACGTGTGCTGTTCTTAAGGGGCTGAGAATACCAGGAAAACACAGCGTGGCCTCCACGAGGGCCACAGGCTGGTAGGGGAGGCTGGCGGTCACGTCCCCGGGGCAATAAGGTCTGTGTGGGATGAGAATTATAGGGCGCAGTGGTGAAGGACCAGGTGCTGGATGAGAGTGACCAAATTTGACCCCTGCCACTGCCACTCACCCATGGATGGGCCTTTGGCAAGTTTTTTAAGCCTCAGTTTCCTCGTCTGCAAAGCGGAGGTAATAATAGTAGTTACTTCATGGGATATAATGAGAATTATGCCTTAATTTCTCAGCACATCTTGGCACATAGCTAACACTACATAACTACTAACCGTTAGGTAAACACAGGTGCTATGGAACCAACGAGGAAGATGAGCTATTCCCGCAGATGAGGTTAGGATCCTGAGCTTCATTTCTTACCTGTCCTTTTGGCCTTATCTGCAGGACTAGATACCTTGAAACCGTCAGCTCTGGCTTCTCCAGAAGAGGAACCCCACTGAAGAGAAGGACTTCACTGAGCATGCCAGGACAGATGCTTCCCTTGCACTTTTCCAGAGCTAGACTTCTCCAAGTCTAGAAAGGATGGTGTCTTTTATATAGGTGAGTCTTTTAAAAATTATTTACTCCATTTATTAATGGGTTGTATTTTTTTAGAGCAGTTTTAGGTTCACAGCAAAATTAGTTAAAAGGTACAGAGATTTCCCATATACCCCCTGTCCTTACACATACATAATTTCCCTCGTTATCAACATCTCCACCAGAGTGGTACATTTGCTATAGTTGATGAACCTGCATTAACATGCCATTATCACCCAAGGTCCATAGTTTACATCAGGGTTCACTTTTGGTCTATGGGTTTAGACGGATTTGTAATGACATGTATCTATCCTGAGAGTGTCATACAGAATACTTTCACTGCCCTAGAAATCCTCTGTGCTCCACCTATTCATCCTTCCTTTCCCTCTAAGCCCTGGCAATCACTGATCTTACTATCTCTTTAGTTTTGCCTTTTCCAGAATGTCATACAGTTGGAATCATCCAGTATGTAGCCTTTTCAGATTGGCTTCTCCCGCTCAGTAATATGCATTTAAGTTCCTCCATGTCTTCTCATGGCTTGACAGCTCATTTCTTTTTAGCACTGAATAATATTCCATCATACAGACAAACCACAGTTTATCCATTAACCTACTGAAGGACAACTTGGTTGCTTCTAAGTTTTGGCAATTATGAATAAAGCTGCAGCTCAAGGTAAATCTTGGTGGAATTAGCCAAGTGAAGAAGGGGGCCAGGGTGAGCAGGCAGAGGGAAGAGGCTGAGCAAAGGAGAGAGCCCAGTAAGGGGGGGACTGCCGAAGTCTGGGTGGTTGAGGCCTCACCTGAGCAGATCGGAGAGGAGAGTGGGTGTGCTTGGAGCAAGTGTGACGACTGCTGTGTTGGCCTCCCACATCTTGGCAGGGCCAGAGCTCCCGGGGGCTCTGAGAGCTTCCTGTACATGGGTCAGCTCCTCTGTGTGCCTCCTCCACACTATGATGTAGTTGAATTCCGACAGCCTGCTCTGCCCCACACTTCCTCCAAGGTGTAAAGTGGGCAGTGGCTTTCTACAAGGAGACACCACAGCAGGAGATGGTGACTTGACCAGACAAAAAATGTGGAGAAAATTGCAGGAGACCCAAGCTGGAAGCCAGAGGGCTACTGGCACTTTTTAAGTCCTTCTCTCCATTTGTCTTCCTGAGGAGTTATCTTTTGTTCCTCCTCCCCCAGGTAGATGGTTTAGGATGTTTTATCATGTTTTTAAGCTGATGGTGAATGTGGCTGAACTACCTCACAAGTATTCGGGGGCTGTTATGGACTGAATTGTGTCCTCCCCCACCCACCCCCACCAAATTCATAGGTCAAAGCCTTCACCCACAATGTAACTGTATTTGGAGATAGGACCATTAGGGAGGTAATAGAGGTTAAACTCGCTCTCTTCAGGCAGACACAGAGGAAAGGCCATATGAGGACAGAGCCAGAAGGAGGCCATATCTATAAGCCAGGAAGAGCTCCCTCATCAGGAACGGAATCATCCAGCATTTTGATCCGGGACTTCCAGTCTCCAGAACTGAGGACATGAATGTCTGCTGTGGAAGCCACCTCGTCTGTGGTACTTTGCTACGGCAGCCTAAGCCGACCAATATAGGGGCTTTCCTAAAAAGAGCTCCTTCGACACCTGGCTTTGTGGTGGTGTGGCCTCCGTGGCCCAGTCATCAGTGACTCTTCTTTGGGTCAGCACTAGCAGACTGGCTGTGACTCCCCCTGATAGCTGTCCCTCCAGAGGCAGACATAGAGCAGTTCCTAAGGAGACCATCCTCACTGGCCAGTGACAGAGGGAGGAGCAGAACCCTTGCCCCCCGACCCAGGAGGCTGGTGTTGGTTAAGGAGTGCCAACAACTGTGAAGGGTGTGAGACTGCGCCCAACTCACGAGGCTAACAAGTTAGCCAGCACAGTTTCACGTTTGCGGGCAAAGGATACAAGACTTTGGGGTCAGAGACAAAGGATCTTGTTACTCACAGCCACAGCAGTACCAGGGTATAAGCGTCTGTGCTCGGCTCCCCAGGCCCAGTTCCCACAGGGCCACGTGAGGAGGGTCAGGTGCTGCCTGCCCGGGCAGAGGGTGGCTTCTTGTCTGAACATCGCTCTAGGGGTAGCGCTGTCTGTCTCACATTAGACAGTAAGCAGACCTGCCCTTCCCTGCAGAGGACTATACCCTGCTCTCTGCCAAGGCTGTTTGCCATGCCAGCAGCCCGGTGGCATACATAGTGAGGTACGGATTCTAGCAGCTTTGTTGCTCTGATTGACCCCTGACAGGGACGAACCCCAAACCGTTTTAATAAGTTGCACCACTTATTCCCCACTGTAGATGCTCCTCCGGGGTAACCGAGATTGTCTTGAAATCTACACGTGACTATAAATAGGTCTGATATCTTGTGGTTTACCATATGTCTGTTTTAAAAATGTAGGTTTTATTATTGTTCAGGTATGGTAAAGCTAACAGATCAGAGGAGATTGCCATTGAAATGATCTTTTTTTTTTTAACGATTCACATTTCTAAAAAGTTTGTTTGTTTATTTTTAGTAATCTCTACACCCAACACAGGGTTCGAACTCACCGCCCGAGGTCAAGAGTCGCCTGCTCTTCTGACTGAGCCGGGCAGGCGCCCCTGAAGGATCTTTTTTTTTTTTTTTTTAAAGATTTTATTTATTTATTTGAGAGAGAGAATGAGATAGAGAGAGCATGAGAGGGGGGAGGGTCAGAGGGAGAAGCAGACTCCCCCCGGAGCAGGGAGCCCGATGCGGGACTCGATCCCAGGACTCCAGGATCATGACCCAAGCCGAAGGCAGTCGCTTAACCAACTGAGCCACCCAGGTGCCCCTGAAGGATCTTTTGTTACTCACAGATCCTAAGAGGCAGGGGGGACCCACTGAGCTCTGGGGAAGCACCAGGGTCAGTCAGGAGGCAGAAGGAATGGAGGAAAGCATGGTCAAAAGTCTTTATTGTGGTTTCCACGGGAAGGAGTGGGTAAAGCAGGGGAAGCAGGCATAGGATTGGCTCGTCTGAATAATTTCAGTGGGCTCTGGGGCAGAGGGGCTGTCCCTAGTTGTCTGGTACTTGTCCCTGCGATGATCAGGGCGGGTGGGTAGTGGTCTAGAGAGTGAGAGCCTCATAAAGAAGGTGGTTGCGGGTGTGGGCTCTAGATTGGCTGGTTTACATATGGAAGGCATGACTGTAGCCGAGCGGACTCCTTTACCACGTCTAAGAGCTGGCTAGCCGTGCGCGGGGCAGCTGCTCCAAGGTCAGCAAGGCCTAGAGGTCAAGGCCGCAGAATTAAAAGACACACTTAATACAGAGTCAAATAAAAGCAATACCTCCTTGTGAAAGCCTAACTCCTGAAGAACATGGAAACTAGGAGGTATATCAGCGAAAGGCACCTCTGGAATTAACAAGCCTGTCATTATCTATCTAGTCAGTGCCATGAGTCAACACTTGTTCGTTGAGTAGCTGCCATGAGGCACTGTGCTGGATGCTGGGGAGACAGGGATGGACCCAGAAGCCCCCGCCTTGCCTCGTGGAGCCCGGGGTGGAGCTGCCGAACCCACACAGGGACCACTAGGTGAGGTCTACGGCCCCCTGAGAACACTCACTTGTCATCTGAAAATTGAAGGTGCATTTTCTCCAGGACACATTTGAGCCTGAAGGCATAGTATACCCCTAACCACAGTGGTACGCCAGGCAGGAAAAATGACCCTGCCTTTTGGAACTCTTTGTCCCGCCAGAGGCATTTCCGGAATTTCCTCGGCACCCCAGATGACCCGTCTGAATCCTCCCATCTGGGCCTCTGTGTTATTTCTTTGTCAAAGTTGATGAACTATGTCTGCAGATGGCACAGTCCATCACTGTGGTTCTCTGGTGTGCTCTTTTGGGAAAAAAAAAATTTTTTTTTAAGTGTTTCTGTAGCTCAGAAGTTCATTTGTCTTAAATCTGTTTGGGCTGCTATAACAAAATACCACAGACTGGGTGGTTTATAAACAACAGAAATTTATTTCTCGCCATTCTAGAGGCTGGAAGTCCAAGCTCAGGGTGCCAGCAGATTCAGTGTCTGGTGAGAGCCTGCTCTGTGGTTTATAGACAGCTGTCTTCTCACTGTTTCCTCACATGGTGGGAGGGGAGAGAAAGCTCTTGGGGTCTCTTCTAGAAGGGCACTAATCCCGTTCATGACCTAATCACCTCCTAGACGCCCTACCTCCAGACACCATCACATTGGGGGTTAGGATTTCAACATATGAATGTTGAGGGGACACAAACGTTCAGCGTAGATAGCAGCATCCTAATTTGGGGTTCTCCCCTCCACTGTTCATCTCCCTCCGACCCTCTTCCTCCTTCTCTGGTGGGAAGAATAGACTGTTTAAAGCAGGCCACTCATCATCATGCAAATATAAACTTCTGGTAAAATATACACCAGTACTCTAGTTTTAAACTTTCTGATGCAGTGAAATGTTTCAATTTGGATTTCTGGCAACTACTATCATCATCTTAAGAGATGTATAAATACATGTAAATAAGATATTAACACCACAAGATTGTTTTAGACCATTTCCCCATCTGGTTTGGTCCTGTAGTTGTGTGGGAAGGAACAGTTCTTGGAATCTGGCCTGAGCATGAAAATACAGAACAAAACGATCACTTAAGGTTTGCAGCAGCCTGCAAGATGCTTACCTCTGAAAGCCAATTGCAAATTAAGTTATAACATCCTTGTAGTAGTCATAAACATTAGGTCAACATTGCACTGTTGCTGGGGTGAAGGGTTTCCAAACCTGGTGAATTCTCAGAGCTTTCTGGAGAGCTTCTAAAAATTCACATCCTGGGCTCTGCTTTTAGAGATTATGATGGTATCGGTGTGTGGTGGGGGCCGGGAAGCTGTATTTTTCAGAAATTGCTCAGATAGATATCTGTGATGATAAGCTGACTTGAGACCCACAGCTTTATTCTGAGAGTCTTGCCATCCTAAGTATGCTCCCTGACTGGCAGCTGCAGCATCCCCTAGGGGCTTGTTAGAAACACCC